CGGCGGCGACGGCCGGTCGAAACCGGTCCGTCCGGTTCAGCCGGCCGGAAATTTTTTTTTTATGAATTATAATAATACTTATAATTTAATTATAATGAAAAATTATAAATTATAATTTAAAATTATAATTATTTTAATTTAAAACAAAAAAATAATATATTAATAAAAAAATTTATATTAATTAATTTATTTGAAAAAAAATTAATATAATTTAAAACAAAAAAATATTATATTAATAAATAAAAAGTATATTAATTAATTTATTGGATAAAAAAAAATTTTAGTTATCAAAAGAATAATAATTATTAAATATTATTAAATTAATTAATCACTATTTAAATGGGTATAAAAGTTCACTTATTAATAATAATTAATTTCACTTAAAAATGTTAAATAAAAGATATATTAAAAAATAGGGATAAAATCTTTTTCACCCGTTATGTTTTTATTCTTTCTTTTACACACCGGCCCGTCAAATAACTTCCTTTACACCCCAAAAGTCACGATGTGTTATGCGATATTACACTCGCATGTCTAAATGAACCAGCGCATATCAAACCAGACGCATAATGTATGACTATGCGAAACCATTTCGCATGTTTAGGGATCGCATATCCAAATTAAACGCATGATTACAAATATGCGAAAATATTTCGTATTTTTAAGAATCGCATATCCAAATCGAATGCAGCATAATTTACGATGATTATGCGCCTTCCTTCTTTTCGCAGGGCTATACGACCTTCCAAATTTATGACTATGCGAAACTCTTTCGCATATCATTCGCATAATTTGTTGACTTTGCATTTTTTAGTAATTGCATATCCAAGTCAATCGCACAATTTACTAATATGCGAAAAACTTTCGCATATATCCAGTATAACGTCGGATAATTGACAAATATGCGACATTTTTTCGCTCGCATATTTAAGAATCGCATAACCAAATCGAATAAAGCATAGTAATTTATTTGACGATTATGCGCCATTTTTTCGCAGGGACATATCGACCTTGCAATTTTACGACTATTCGGAATTTGTTCGCATATCTATCGCATATGTTACGCACCTCATTAAATGGACTGCTTTTTCACAGGTGAGGGTTTTGTCTCTGCATTTATCATGCAGGCAAAAAAAAAAACAGTGATCTCTAACAATTTAACGTTTGCACTCTGGGCTATTCATCTACTGCATTTTTCTGTTTCTTTCATTTTAATTCTTTTTGTTGTTCACTTATTTGAATGGCTAGCAACCGTGTTAAAGTATTCATGCACTATGGTGGTTCATTTTCCGGGGGTCATATCTTGGTGGAGTGGCAGAGCTGATGAGAATAAATTACGGCTGACAAATGTATTCTGAAGTAGTTTCTCGTGCTCAAGCATTATTAAAGGCCAATCCTCTCCATTTTGAGTACATATTGTGGGCCGTATATGATGGAAGGGAACAACCTGTGAAGATGAAAACCGAATCCAGTGAAGATATCTTAGAGCTGATTGAAGAACATGGAAATCCCAACATTTACCTGGAGTTGGAGAAGCGAGTAAATGTAGGGATTCCGGGGACGGCGCAACAAAGCTTCACGCAAATGATGGCGTCCCAAGGTGCATGTGTTTCTTAGTTCTTTTGGTGTTGGTAGTTCTGCATTTTTCCACGAGGCCCCGTATTCATATCAAGCAGGCCCTAGTTCATTTACACATACTGGATATCTTCGGGGCGCTGATGAAGGTCATCACGATCACGTCGAGTACGGCGTCAACAGATGTGCTCTCGGTGCGGGGTCACCGGGCAAGAACAACATCGAGACGCCCGAGGAGATGTCGTACTTGTAAAGAAACAGGTCACAAATCGTCATCTTGTCCACACGTCCATTCCATGACAATTTAGATGAAGATGGAGACGTTATGTAATGCTATGTACCTCATTGGAGTTTTTAATTGGTAAAGAAATTTAACGGAAGAAATACTTTTAACGAGAAAAATACTGTGTTGGTACTTGGTACCCTAAGTTGTGACCTGCGCACACACTTTTTTCCCGAAACGATAGAGGTTATATATCTCAGACCAACTGCACACACACGATTGACTAACAGAAAGTAGTGAAATTGGGTTGATTGCGCGATCCGCATAACATGTCCCATAATAATCGCACAATTGGTTGATTATGCGATTCTCATATCATGTCCCATAATAATCGCACAACTCGGTTGATTCGCAGGTTCATTCGCCTAGTCTTCATTGATTGATTGTCTGCATCGCATATCCAAATCAAAAGTTCTTCGTATATTATTCGCATAAGTTACGCACCGCATTGATTGATTGCCTGCTCTTACACGTAAAAAACTGTGACGATTTGCATGCTTCCTCATTTAGTTGTCGAGTTGATGTATATCTACATAGCTTTAAATGCTATCTCTAAATATTACCCTTTCATTCTCTTTGTTGAATAATTAACCTTTCACTTCTCAAAACCCTAGCTTTCGATTGCAGCCAAAAAAAAAAACAAGGAGGCGCACGTTTGCGAAAAAAAAAATGGAAACGATTTCACCCTATGAAAAGATCTCGATCCGCTTCCGTGTCGTGGACTGGACAGAGGAAGAGGAAGATATTTGCTACCGATTGTTTTTCAAAAAGTGCCGTGAGAAGGCAGACATACACCAAGGCCCTATGTTCAATTCCTTGTAAGCAGAAATTTCAAAATTAATGAACCAAGTGCTGAGTTATGCATTGAAGAGGGAGTATACTATTGCCCAAGTTCGGCGAAAGATTCAGCGGCTCAGAAATTATTTCGATGAATTTTCTGCTTTCCTAAGGATTCCAGGCGTCCTCTTGCGTCCTGGTTCAGGCTTTGTAGAGGTTAACCACATGTACTGGGTGCATGTGCGGGATGAGGTAAATTTCATTTGATTTTTTTATTTTAGTTTGTTCAAGCATGCATTTTTGTGACGCGGCCATAATAACCTAAAAAGATTCAAATTTATTACACAGGAGACCGACGCTTAGACATTTTTCCATTTGGAAGGATTCCCTTGGTATCGTGAGTGTTACGAGGTTTTTACCGAGCGCAACGCAGCGGCTATCGAGTTGGAGGGCGGGCCTGGTGCTTCGGTTGACGATCCAATCTGGGGGGAAGACATAGACGATGAAGGTGATGATCAGATCCATCAGCCACCACCAAAGCTGGAAGTCATCGATCTCAACCCTTAGAATCCACTGGACATGTAATCAAAAGTTGTTTGGCTTATTTTGTTGGACTGACTGCAGCAATAATAAATATTTTTTTTTCTTCTGTCAAGTATATGTGTTTAATCATGATTCATATGTCAAAACAAAAAGAAAGTGTGATAAATCGCATTGTGTTCCCAGCAAAATAAGCGATAATATTTGAAGGAAAATTATTATTGAAAGAAATTTCGCAGAACTGTGAACAAAGTGCGATAAATCGCATTGTGTTCGCATAACGTAATGAAAAAATTAAGTACAAGTAATTTATATTGTATTTTATAATCGCATATCCAGGCCAGATCAACCGCATCATTTAGGATATGTGAAAAACTTTCGCGTAATTAGATTATCGCATATCCTAATCGAACGCTGCATTATTTATGGGTAACGAAAATAATTTACGATTCGCATATCCAAATCTATAAGGCTAGATAACTATCAATTATGCGTATTGTTTTCGCATATTTACGAATTGCATATCCATGTAAACCTCGCAGAATGTATCAATATGCGAACACATTTCGAATTGTGTTACGCACCGCATTGGTTGACTGCTTTTCTTCACCTAATAGTTATTTTCAATTCAGTCAAAGAACAAGAATTTTCTAAAAATTACTATATACCAACTCTGCGAATAATATGCGACGTTTGTATATCGCAATTTTGTACGTCACAGAATAGAAAATGTACGGAAACAAACTTAATTAAGTCACACACCAAAAACTTTCCAAAAATTAAATTTTATAAAATTAATTATTTACCAACTGGGGGACTAATATGCGACGTTTGTATGTCGCAATTCGCATGTCGCAGAATTGAAAATTTAGAAAAACAAATTTAAGAAAATTTATGTTATTTGTTATAGTACGAGTGTTATGCGCGGTTTTTATGCGGAATTGTTTCGAGTAATAATCGCTTGTTCATTCGCCTATTAGTAATTTAGTCACAAACCAAAAACTTTCCAGAAATTAAATTTTATAAAATTAATTATTTACCAACTGGGGGACTAATATGCGACGTTTGTATGTCGCAATTTCGCATATCGCAGAATTGAAAATTTACAAAAACAAACTTAAAAAAATATATGTTATTCGTTATAGTACGAGTGTTATGCGCGGTTTTTATGCGGAATTGTTTCGAGTAATAATCGCATGTTCATTCGCCTATTAGTAATTTAGTCACAGACCAAAAACTTTCCAGAAATTAAATTTCATAAAATTAATTATTTACCAACTGGGAGACCAATATGCGACGTTTGTATGTCGCAATTTCGCATGTCGCAGAATTGAAAATTTACAAAAACAAACTTAAAAAAATATATGTTATTTGTTATAGTACGAGTGTTATGCGCGGCTTTTATGCGGAATTATTTCGAGTAATAATCGCATGTTCATTCGCCTATTAGTAATTTAGTCACAGACCAACAACTTTTCAAAAATTAAATTTTATAAAATTTATTATTAACCAACTGGGGGACTAATATACGACGTATGTATTTCGCAATTTCGCATGTCGCAGAATTGAAAATTTACAAAACAAACTTAAAAAAATAAAAAATATATGTTATTCGTTATAGTACGAGTGTTATGCGACGTATATATGTCGCAATTTTACATGGACTCAACTACTTTACATCGATTGAAATAGTTTACAAGTAACCTTACATCGGAAGAAACGAATTACTAGATAGAGGCGGCTACGACAGTGAGTTGAAACAACAGTTTGAAAGATCAAAAGCAATTGGATGCATGTGCCGAAGGTTTAGAAATCGGGGGGCTAGGTAAGTTCATGGGATCGATCAATCAAGTTAGCTTCGAAAAAGAACCATCACGCCTTTCACGTAAACTTTTTTGTCCAACGGCTTTTCGCAATCGCATTCAATCCGCTGAAGTACACGATTACATTCGGAAAATCATCAAACCAACAATTTGTGTCTCCACATTTGAAGTACATTGTTGGCGGCGTGTCGTCAACGTTGAATTTCAATCGACGACATTCAACCTCAGACGATCTTATCGGGTTGAGCAGCATGTTCTTCATCTGTCTACGAGTGGAATGTATACAGAGGTTGAGAGAAATGGAGAATGAATTTATCACTTTCGATCAACATTTTAAAGCCTCCGTACTAAGATTTCATAAAGAGATTGAATGGTCAATCACCTTTGTCTTTGAAGGCGTGCTCGCTTTCGCCGTCGTAGGCGCCTCAATCTAGTATACCCAGGAAGACCAAGCACTTCGCAGGAGATTCCACGCCTTCCAAAACACATGGTCGCTTCCAAATTGTTCAGCCTACAATTTTGCAAAGCTCCATGGGCAGTGACCATGTGCTTGGGCAGACATGGGATCCCCAGGGCAAGCGCATGGACTTTATGGGGATAGTAGATTGGGCAGCCTACGACGGTGGGAGAGAACAAGCCCTCAAATATCTATCTATCTACCTTAACTTCTAATCAATCAGACGTACAACAGATGTAGCTGAGATGAGACAACTGAATTTGGATCAGGACCATTTTCTCGACCATTTTCTCAGAGTTGAAGTATTCTTATGTCTTATCTCGGCTACCTTTATTATAGAAGACTCACGAAGATATCTATTTTCCTTGATACGCGCGCCGTTATTAATTTACTAAAGACTGAGGGGAAGTTTCGGAGCGACTCTTCAAATTCGCAGAACTGCAATCAAAATGCGATGAATCGCACTTCATTCGCATAACATAATGACAATAAATGATTTCGCATATCTGGTTAAAGAAGATATATACAGTCATATACTCGAAGATATCTATCCTCTTTGATACGCGCGCCATTATTATGTGCCGAAGACTAGACGTTTCAGAGAAGAGGCGACTCTTCAAATTCGTAGAACTGCGAACAAAATGCGATGAATTGCACTTCATTCGCATAACGTAATGACAATAAATGATTCCGCATATCTGGTTAAAGAAGAGATACTCAAGAAGATAATATTATCCTCCTAAATACGTGCGTCGTTATTTATGCGCCGAAGACTGAGGGGACGTTTCAGAGCGACTACTCAAATTCGCAAAATTGTGAACAAAACTTCATTCGCATAACGTAATGACAATAAATGATTTCGTATATCTGGTTAAAGAAGAGATACTCAAGAAGATATTATTATCCTCCCAGATGCGAGCGCTGTTATTTATGCACCGAAGACTGAGGGGACGTTTCGGAGAAGAGGCGACTCTTCAAATTCGCCGAACTACGAACAAAATGCGATGAATCGAACTTCATTCGCATAACGTAATGACAATAAATTGCATTCTATTTCGCATATGTGGTTAAAAAAATATACGTAAAATATAAATAATTGTTTTTAATGCGCCGACCTTTTCAGTAAAACAACTGTCATTTAAATTGAGAGTCGAAAACACGCAACCTTTAACCGTAGAACGGCAAAAATGTGCGATTAATCGCATATCATTCGCGTACCTGAAATTATGGAGGGAAAAAATCCCGCTCATTGAATTAAACATTTTAGAGTAGTGCCACAAGGTCGAAGAAGAATGAAATTAAGTTGCAAGTGAAGGATAAACAATAATGAAATGAAAGTGATAATAGAAGAAAACCACTTAGTAAAAAATATAATAATGTTCAAGCTCAATCTTAGATAAAATGTTGATTAGGAGTTAAGGTAGATAGATAGATATTGTTTAATAATGTGATTATGTTTAAAAGTGATAACAGAAGAAAGCCACTTATTAAAAAATATAACAATGTTCAAGCTCAATCTTAGATAAAAATGTTGATTAGGAGTTAACATAGATAGATAGATATTGTTTAATAATGTGATTATGTTTGAAAGTGATAATAGAAGAAAGCCACTTATTAAAAAATATAACAATGTTCAAGATCAATCTTAGATAAAAATGTTGATTAGGAGTTAACGTAGATAGATAGATATTGTTTAATAATGTGATTATGTTTGAAAGTGATAATAGAAGAAAGCCACTTATTAAAAAATATAATAATGTTCAAGCTCAATCTTAGATAAAATGTTGATTAGGAGTTAAGGTAGATAGATAGATATTGTTTAATAATGTGATTATGTTTGAAAGTGCTAATAGAAGAAAGCCACTTATTAAAAAATATAACAATGTTCAAGCTCAATCTTAGATAAAATAATGTTGATTAGGAGTTAAGGTAGATAAATAGATATTGTTTCATAATGTGATTATGTTTGAAAGTGATAATAGAAGAAAGTCATTTTATACATTATTATGAACGGTAATTTATAAAATAAACTATTATACCATAAGATATAAAATCAAGTATTGGTTTAGGGTTTAGGGTTTAGGGTTTAGGGACTTTTTAGGGATATGCGAATGGGGTATGCGATTTCGCTTACCCCTCGCACTTCTACTCGAAAGTTTATTTTTTATTCGCATACCCCCACGCACTTCTACTCGAAAGTTTATTTTTTATTCGTATACCCCCACGCACTTCTACTCGAAAGTTTATTTTTTATTCGAGGGGGTATGCGAATTGCCGCATATTGCTCGCATACCCCCTCCATGAGATTATACTCGATTTTTTTTTTTCTTTAAATTCTCTATTCTGCGACATACAAAATTGCGACATACAAACGTCGCATATTATTCGCCGAGTTGATGCATAATAAATTGTTTTGAAATTTTGAAACCGCTGACAGTTGGAATGTTACGGCCGATTTTCGAGCCGTCTTTTCCGCTTTTCGAAACGTCGTTTTCTCCGTCTACATAAAGCGTGTAATCTTCGATTCTTATCATACCCCTTCTCTTTCTTCCCCTCCGGCCCCCAGAACTCTTTGGTAATGGCCCTCCGTTTTTTCCTTCTCTTGTATATGAGAACCAGTTCGCCGGAGATAAACCAGAATTATAAAAATTATTTCTTTCGATAGAAGTTAGACATGGCTAAGGCGTATGATAGGGTTGAGTGGCCGTTTCTTAGGGAGGCTCTGGCTAGGATGGGATTTCCTGAGCGTTAAATCAGCTTTGTGGAGGCGTGTGTGGAGCACTGCACGTTCTCGATCCTGGTTAATGGCAGCCCCACCGATATCTTTTTCTCCTCTAGAGGCCTTAGACAGGGCGACCCCCTTTCCCCTTCCCTCTTCGTTCTTGCGGCGGACTACCTCTCTCGCTGCCTTGACGGCTTCATCCGCGACTCTCCTCATATGACCTATAGTACCTGTGGCTATGGTCCTCCCATCTCTCACCTCTCTTATGCGGATGACATCATCATCTTCACCCAGGCGGAGGATGATGGATTGGTCGAGCTTATGCGCCTTCTAGAGCACTATGGCTCCGTCACCGATCAGCTGGTCAGTGTGCAGAAGAGCACCTTCATCCTCTCTTCTTCCACTGTGGACAGGTGGGCTCAGCGGGTCCATGACATTACTGGCTTTGCGCGTGGCGACCTTCCCTTTACCTACCTTGGGGTCCCTTTATATAAGGGCAACCTCACGAGAGCGCTCTTTGCGGACACCAGACAGAGGATGATCGACAGGATATCTGATTAAGAGCACTCTTAGCTCTCTTCCGATTCACTTGCTTATGATCCTCGACCCCCCTAGGTCTACTCTGGACGAGATTGACCAGATTATGGATCGTTATTTCTGGGGTTACGAGGACGGTTCTGGGAGGGGAAGATGTACCCACTGGGTGAGTTAGGACTCTATCTGCCGCCCCCTCCCCGAGGGTGGCCTTGGCATCCGCCGGCTCAGGGACATTGTTACAGCTTTCTCCTACAAGCTTTGGTGGCGCTTTAGGGAGGGAAAGTCGCTTTGGGCTCAGTACCTTCGCGGCAAGTACTGCCCTAGACGTTCCAACCACCCTTGTTGGGTCACGACTGTTGTCATGATAGCAGACAGTGACGGCGCCTCACTAGGGTCGGTAGGCGGACCCAGGATCACATCTTCTGGGTTTTGGGCGAGGGCGGGGTTAGTTTCTGGGATGAGTGGTGGGTAGGTGATAGGTCGTTGTCTAGGGATAGGCCGGTGTCGCATTCCCCTTACCTGCTTGTAAGCGACCTTTGGACGGACGGGTCATGGGATAGGGGGAAGCTAGACAGGGAGTTGGGGATCTAGGGCGGGTTTTAGCGAGCAGTTATTAGATCAGATCCAGCAGATCCCTATCTCGGGGGACGGTTCGGATGGCATGAGGTGGAGACTTACATCATCAGGTGTGTTTTCTACTACCTCGGCTTGGGAGCAGATCAGGCTGAGAGATCGGACTAATCTTCTTTTCGGGACCATCTGGAGCGACCTTTTCACCCCTACCATTTCGGTGTTCCTTTGGCGCCTCCTTTTGCGCCGGATACCCGTGGATACTGTGTTACACGCGAGGGGGATCTCCTTCCCCTCTCAGTGTGTGTGTTGTTCTGAGACTAGACGCCGTGAGACCGAGACCTTTACCCACATTTTTCTAGAAAGTGAGATTGTGAGGAGAGTGTGGGAGCATTTTGCCACTTGGACACATATATCCCTACCCACCACAGACAGTTTCTTTGAGCTTGTTGTAAATATTTTTCCGGAGTAGAATCAAGAGATTCGAACACCGGGTCGTGTCTCTCGAGAAAGGTCAGCCGGATTACTTTGCACGTTATTCAAACTCAAATAAAAGAAATTAAATTCCTAAACATACTAATTCAAAGATTGGTTTTGGTTTAATTATCAACTACTGCGACAATTCAAATTAAGCAATAAAGAAAGCAAGTAACGAAGAACAATTAGGATTTGAGTAGCTAGGGAATCGGGGAGATCCGTTTTGGTTCGAATTGCAATCAATGGGCAAGTGATTATTCAGCTAAGTGATTTGACTAATCGACACGTCCAAGCACTCATTCTCAATAACTTTTCGTAACAAGAGAAGAAAATAGAACGGCAAATTCACAATTCATTTAGCCTCTAGGCAATACAGTTACGAACAAGCCTAGTTCATACGAGCCTGTTTCGACCGACTCCTCCCCTTTCGGTTCTAAGAGTCGATTAAAGTAGACTAGAGGGTGGTTAACCGTCTAATCAAACAGATTCCCAATTTCAAGCACGAATAAATCTAATTCAATCGAAACAATTGTAAGTTGAAGTGTCACCCTTCAACAATTATCAATATTTGAGCCCGACAATTGAAAAACCCTAGTAAAAGATTAACTCGTACAAATTGAACAATCACGCACATGATAATTGCAATCGAATTCAAAACATCAATCCCCTATCCCTAGCATAGAGATTTAGCTACTCATAATCGAATAATCAACACAAGCAATCACAACCCAAGAATTCATATTTAACGATTAAGTCAAAAGAAAATCTTACGATTGATGAATC